TCCGCGATACGCGATGTGTAATAATAATACTTCAAAGTTTATTGCAATCATACGTAAATAGGTATTTTACGATGTACGAATAAATATTGTAATTATAATATGAATAAAAATGATAATATTTGTGAAAATTTAGAAAGGTGGTTGCGTCAGGAGCAGAGGAAAAAAAGAAGGATAAACGTAAGTCGACATCGATATTCGAATTTTTTTTTTTTTTCAGAGGACTATATATCCCACCGAATCGTACTACTTCCTCTGTATAAAACTGATATATGATGTTTTAAGTAGCGTAGAACTGACTAGTAATTGAATTTAAAGGGCGGAAGCGAAGAAATCTGGTCCCCTTTCGTATTAACTTAATCAAGTTCAGTTTGCCCAGTACCGTCGACCGTCGCGGTCACAATAGAGACATTAAATTGTCAGTACAGATTTATTAAACCGGGTGGCTGTTACAGGCATGAGACTCATTTGGTCCACGTAAAAATTAGACTGAACAATTTTCTCGACAATTTCTTTCCTTTTTTTTTCTTTTTTTTTCTGTTTTTTTTTTTTTTTTTTTTTTTTTTTTTCTTTTTTTCTCGTTAACAATTTTGTTCGGACTATTACATACGAATTTCGTTAGAACGAGATATGGAATAAAAATGACAAATAAGAAGAGGAAGAATGTTACTCGTTGTGACGTCTAAGGTGAAACTTTTTGTTACACAATTCTCGCAATCTTTGAACAGCCTCGTTCCTTTTCCGACCATAAGCTGTCTCCCAGGCGTCGAACAATCGATTGTAATAACTCAGATATGTGAAATACTTGAAGTATTTGTGGGTATCCTTGGTAGGGAAGATCTTTCGATAAGAGCCCAAACGATTTAATTCATCTTCGTATTGTATCAATTGTCTTACGTCGTCCGCAGTTAGATATTGTAGGATTTCATTCAAGTAAGTTTGCCGTTTTCTCTTAGAAAGGAATCGTAATTGTTTCAATTTTTCCCTATTGGTCAATATCTTTTCGTTTAATCGAAAATCATGACAGATCGTGGAATGTTCGCTTTTAGCGATCGCTTGACGTAGCGAACAATTTGGTAATTCCGCTGGTATCCTATACGAGACGAGATTCAAGGTATCTCTGATGAGAGCACCTTTGATAGTTTCGTCCAATAACGAAGGCGTTTGTAAACTAGGACAAGCATTAACTTCCAATAACCAAGGTTTCAGATTTTCATCCAATAGAACGTCGATACCGAAAAGTTCATAACAGTTGTACCAAGAGCCGGCATATACGCGAGAAAAATTATTGACGCATGACTCCGCGGAAACTATAGTCTTTACGATCATGTCGTGAATCCTCTCGATGATATTCCCGGTGTTCACTGCCTGTTTCTCCAAATGATTCCAGAGACACTTGAGGGACCACTTGTGACCCTTGCAAGAATCCACGGTATCGTTCTCGGTATAATCCGAGGAGTACTTGTTGATACTGTAGTTGGTTAAATGCATAAAACGATCGTGAAGAGTCGACAAGCTGTCTCTGTACTTGTTACTTGCGAATCTTACCAAGCCGTCTTCGTAAAAATATACTCTCAAAGGATCGATACTTGTCACGAGTACGTAAAGCCTTAAATCGAACTTGTTACCGTTGATTAATTTTGGTCTCGAGAGATAACGCTGAATTATCAGATAATTACACGTTCTAGGTATTTGCGTTCTATTACTGATTACTTTGATACCACGACCACGAGACGAAGCTGGCGGTTTCAATATCCATTTTTTATCCTCGTCCTTATTCCAGATTTTCAATAGTAACTCGAGATCGTGTGGTAGTATATATGTTCTCGGTATAAAGTCTATACGTTTCTTACCATGAAGTAATATCAATCTACGGACGTTTCTGCACAAACGATCCTTATGTCCTATCTCATAGGAGCCGGGAAAGTGATTGACTTTTTGAAAATTCTTCAGATTCGAGAAATTGTACGTGTACATGATCTCGTTCCATGCGCCGCACCAACCTGTACAACCTGATAACAATCGATATCCCGTTTTTTCTACGATCTTACGTACGATCGATGGCGTTGCCGACGTAAGATCCCATTGTAAATGTTGTTGAATTTCCTGAGGGAAATATCGTGCCTTTGCGTTGTGAGCTTGAAATTCTACGTAAGGAGCAACGTGTGGAAATAAACTGGCACGAAGTGGTAATTCGTGTTTCGATTCAACGCTCGTCGATGGATTCTTTTTTATCGGAGGGAACAATAATAGATACTCGGTTATCAGTTCGTACAAATCTTCCTCCTTCTCTCGACGATCGTCGTAAACGTACACCGAGGTTAACCTCCTACTTATCGTGTTCGTTGATGCGTTCATAACTTTCTTCTCCCTTTTTTTCTGTTTTTATTTTATTTTATTTTTTCCTTTCCTTCTTCTCTTCTTTTTCTTCTTTTTTTTCTTTTTTTTTTTTTTTCTTTTTCTTTTTTTTTAATACTTTTTCCCCTCCTTAAATCTCTCCCGTTTACATTTTTCCTCAAGTCCACGATCTACTCGTAGCCCGACATTACGTAAAAATACGTCGAAGTATACGATATTTTAATTCGTACTTGTAGAAAATTTCACGATGGAGTTTAACCTTTAAAAATTTTTGACAGGTAAGCATTTTTAAGAAATTGCCAATCGGACGTGCAATGAATCATGAACATATAACGATAGTAAATGTATATTTCGAATTGTTGTATCATTAATGGGCAATATAACGTAATAATTCGATAATTGATCTCGATTAAAGATAATGAAATGGATAAATTATAAAGGACAGATGGATCAGTCAAGTATTCGTTTGATCTTGTATATTTGTCGACGGTAGTTGTTGGTTCAAGTGATATCTCTGTTTGCACAATTTTCTCAACCTGTCGATACCTCGAAGCCTGTCATTACCGTACGTGTGTTCCCACGCATCGAGAAGCATGTTGTAGTAACTGAGTTTGTCGAAGTACTTGAAGTACTCGTACGTGTTGCACGTGGGGAAGATTTTTTCGAATCTGCCGGTTTGGGCGAGCTCGTCCTCGTGTCGTATCAACACCCTCACGTCCTCGGGCGTGAGCTCCCTCAGAATTACGTTCAAATAGTATTCACGATTATTCCGAGCATTATTCTCGAAGGAACGTTGCTTTTCTTCTCCTATCTTCGACAAGAAAGTATCGTATAGATTACGATCGTAACAGATTTGAGATTCGTTCGAATATCCTTTCAATGTTTCGACGTCGGTCGGTTTCAATATATCGGGCACGTGAAAACCAACGAGATTTAAAAAGTCACGTGCAAGTTGACCCTTAATGATGGCGCACAAAGGTGTCTCGGTAGACATCGACGGGCAATCATTAACTTCGAGCAACCATGGTTCCAAACGTACGTCTAGGAGTACATCGAAACCGAACAATTGACAATTGTTGTAACTCGGTGGATGAGAATCTTTCATACCCTGTATCAAGGAATTCTCGGCGGAAATAATACTCTTAATAACGATACCTTTGATCTTTCGCCAAATATTATTGATATTCGCGCGTTCTCTGAAACGAAGATAATTCCAAAGAGCTGTCAACGACCACATGTTACCCTGTTGCTTATTGGGATCGTCGTTACCTCGGTATCTAGGGCTTAGCTTGTTGATCGATGTATTAGTCAGATGCATAAAACGATCATTTAGAGTATCGAGTCTATTGTGATACTTAACGGTGGCTAACCTGACAAGACCTTCCGTATAAATGAATATACGAAGGGGATCGATCGACGTTAATAGAACGTACAAACGTATATCGTACTTGTAGCCGTTGATCAAGCTCGGATTCCATAGATAACGTTGGGCCAGGTAGGATGACTTTCTTGGTATCTCGAAGCAACGTGACACCAATCGTATACCGTGACCGGCACAAGAATCTCCTGGTTTCAGGATCCAGACAGTGCCGTTTTTCCTATCCATAAATCTCTTAAGTTTCGCATAATCTGTTGGTAGTACGTAAGAGTACGGCATGTAGTTGAAACTCTTATTACCGTATACTTTGGCCATTCTGTTAATGTTTCTCCATAAGTTGATCTTGTTGCTTAACTCTTGACAATTTTGAAAGTGATTGATCTTTTGAAATTTTTTCAATTGTTTCCTCGTACGTAGAAACGCCGGTTTGTTACACCAGGTACCGGACCAATTGGCCATAGATTTCTCGGTCATCGTAAATCCCGATTTGAGAACCGTCAGACGTATCATTCGCGGTGAGAAGTTCTTGGTATGCCACCAGAGCAGGTGTCTCGTAATTTCCGGAGGTAATGACGCGCCGTTCTTGTCGTAACCGTGAAAGATGATGTACGGTGGAACGTGAGCAAAGAGGCTCTCTCGCATCGGTAGCTTCGGCTTTTTGTCAACTCGATCGGTCTCGGAACGATCGCCTTCGATGGGCAACTTTGCCGCTCGAGCCGTCGTTAAAAGCCTTTCGGTTATCTCCTCGTACGCGAACCCCTCGTCGTCTTCGAACTCGTCCTTACTCCATAATTTGCCGTGGCTGGTACCTGTCGAGACGTCCTTCCTCTTCTTACGTGGTATCGTCATACTTGAAAATTTCTTTACTTTTGCCTTTTACCGGAATGTTCTTACATCGTATTTATCGGAAAATTTTTCTATTAATGTGTCGAAACATGCTTGCTGGTTGTGTTAATGACTGATCCGACGACGATAGTACCATACGATCCGTTTATGTGTTCACGCCAATGGTAACGTGAACTTTTGATTGGAAACTCGACACCTTAATGCCTATGCCGGAGAGAGAGAGAGAGAGAGAGCGAGAGAGAGCAACGTCAACCAATCGGAGGAAAGCTATTCTCCGATAGGAATCAAGTTAATCAACAAGATAATAATCTTCCTCGAAAGGAAGACTGGAATAATAATTGTTTAAGGATAAGGGGAGATGAACGAAGAAAAACCAAGAAAATAAATAAAACATTTTATTAGACGGAAAAATTTCATACAAGATATATAAATCGATGATTCGCGTAATCGAGTTAAAAGGCACATGATTATTTTCGCCGCCAGCTGCGAAATGAGGACAGAACGATTACGCACACGTTCGTTTACCTGGATGTTGTCTTGCGGTGATTAAAACAAAAAAAAAAAAAAAGAAAAAAAAGAAGGAGAAAAAAGATCGAAAAGAAAAAATGAAAAAAAAAAAAAAGAAAGAAGAGAAAAGAATAAAAACGGGGAAAAAAGAAAAAAAAAATCGCACCTCGCACTTACGATCGATTTTGTACACGCGATAATAAAACGATTTTGAAAAACTATATCAACTAATAAACCACTTGTTGCTCGAGATGATACTTCGCCTGACAGAGTTTCTGCAATCTTGAAATCCCTTTTTCTCGATTATCTCCGTAAGCGAATTCCCAGGCGTCGAGTAGCATATTGTAATATCTAGGAACATCGAAGAATTGCATGTATTCGTGACTGGTGCTCGTAGGGAAGATTTTTTCGAATCTATCCAATTGGGTTAATTCGTCCTCGTAAGCGATCAAATGGCGTACGTCGTCCGGTGTAAGATCCTCAATGATCTCGTCTATGTAATCCTCGCGATCACGTAGATTAGCGTACAACGATTGTTTGTGCCTCTCTTGATAGCTCAATGTCGTTCTATGAAGTCGTAGATCTAAACATACAGTGTCTACCTGATATTTCTGAGATATTTTCTCTATGTCTTCGGTGGGCATGGTAGAGGGCAATTGAAAACCGGCGATATTGAAGACGTTCTTTATCAAAGGACCCTTGACCGCGTCGTCGAGAGACGAAGAGGTTTGTAAGGACGGAGATATATTGACCTCGAGCAACCACGGTTTCAATTGTTCGTCCAATAATATATCAAATCCAAAAAGTTCATAACAACAGTATCTCGATTGCATGTTAGGTCTACCAAGAGTATTTATCGAGGATTCGCCAGCTATCATAGTCTTGACGACGATATCCTTCATGCTCGACCACAATTTCGAAACGTTCACGTGTTCTCTCTCGAGATAAGACCAAAGCGTCCTCAAGGTCCATTTGTGCCCGAAACACGAGTCAGCGCAATTGTTGCTCGTATAGGTGGCGCTGGTCTTATTTATACTGTAATTCGTTAAGTGCATGAAACGATCGCTCAGATAATTTATATCGTCGACGTATTTAACGGATGCGAAACGGACCAAACCGTCCGGATAAAGATAAATCTTTAAAGGATTAAAACTCGTTACGAGAACGTAAAGACGCAAATCGAATTTGGCACCGCCGATCAATTTAGGCTTTGACAAATATTGTTGAACGACAACTGGACGTTTCTTTGGTATTTGGGACCAACGATGAACGACGCGAATACCTCTTCCCCTTGCCGAAGCCGGAGGCTTGATTATCCATTTTTCCTTGCTACCTGATTTCTCCCAGATCTGATGGAAACAACGAAGATCCTGTGGTAAAACGTATGTCCTAGGAACGAAACCAAACTCTCGTTTCCCATACTTCGTCATCATCCTACTAACGTTACGCCATAAACGATCCTTACGACCAACTTGAAATGTACCAGGAAAATGATTGACCTTTTGAAACTCTTTCAAGTTCTTATAACATGCCGATTTCATGTGTTTACCCCAGGTACCCGACCATTCTTGAGACTTTTTCATCAGTCGAAAACCAGAATTTACCAGCGTACGACGTACTATAATAGGCGTAATCGTACTTAATCGCCATTTAAGGTGTTTGCTCATTTCGTAGGGCAACGGCAAGCCCTTTGAGTCGAACGATTGGAACGTTATATAAGGTGGTACGTTGTCGAAAAGACTTCTCCTGAATGGAAACTTGTATTTTTTCTCGTTGTCGGCATTGATCTCCTCGAGTGTCAACAAATTCCGATCGATATCTAAATAAGGCACAATTTCCTCGCTCTCTTCTTCGTACTGACTCTCCTCGAGGTCGCCCCCGTCTATATCGTTCACTATACTCGAGATCTCGTGATGATTGTACGCGATCACATCCATCTCGACCGATCTGTAACAACATTTCAAAAGGTTTTACATCCCGTTTCAACCTCGTTCTCGTTTCTCGTGCATGAATTCCATTAAAAACATGCTGATCGACCGTCTCGCTTTATTTTTATGTTTTTTTCTTTTGCTGAGGACATAAGCATCTAAAAAAAAAAAAGAAAAAAAAAAAATCGTAACGTCTCCGCCGGTGATTTATCGATCGCTCGTCTCGATGATTAATAAAAGTCGCGATCTCACTTAAGTATTATATTTCTAATCGAAAATATTCCTTTTAAATATATTCATATTCGAACGTTAATGATTTTAATGGTATAAAGTAATCAACGTATAAAAATTGAATTAGATCGATATCGAAAGATATGAAATGCGTGAAAATTTTTTTGAAATGAAACAAAGAAAAGAAAGTAAAAGAAAAGATTCTCACCTATCGTATCTAAGAACGATTAGCAGTGAACATTGCGCTTTGACGTCCGCAGGTAACTGCAACAAAAAGATAGAAACGATGTTAAAATCACAAGGAGAATGAAACTAAACGATATAATTGAAATAAAACAAATGTACGTTCAACAGTTATTATAATAATCATGTAATAATATTTTCTATCAAGAGGAATGCGCTCTATGCGTCGATGCTCACGTAAACGTTTGCTGCTGTCATCAATGATGACGTCTTAACGTCACCATAATTGCTAGTGCAATCATTCGCACGTAAATCAAATATACGCCGATCGTGTGTTGCACACAAAGGAAAAATTTCTCGTCGATCAATGCAAATGTCTGTGTATATATGCATGCGTGTGTGTGCGTATATGTGTTTATATATATATATATATATATATATATATATATATATATATATATATATATATATTTAGAAATACGAGAAATGACAAGTAACTTCTGACGAATATATAATTTGTTGAATATAAATGTAAGCCGATATCTTCAGTCTGGCTTGCGTCTATAGTTAAAAGTTCGTCAGTTTGCATTTTTATTTAAGTATCGAGAGAATTGATCTGCAAAGCAATTAAATTTCCATTACCGTGGGATCTAAATCGAAATCTCATTTGCATTTTTGCAGAAAAGACGTTTCGCTTTGGAGTTTTTGCTAATACTTTATAGATTTGCAAGATTTTTTTACCTACGACCAAGAAGAAAGTTAAATAAAATTGAAAAAAAGAAAAAAGAAAAAAAAAAAAAGAAAAAGAAAGAAAGAAAGAAAAGAAAAAAGACAAATAACGGCTTCTCGAATGACGTCCAGACAATTCGCGTCGGTTAAAAGTACTTCGTTGAACAGTTAAAAAAATAAAAATGTAAGCGTCGATCAAACAAACTGCTTCTATTGTATTTGAAGGACGTAAGTAGCTTCGATGAAAGGTACAATTATGGTTAATTACAAGAAAATACGAATGGAGACGAGAAAATAAAAACAACTTATTCTATATAGTATTCTTCATTTTATTTTTATGAATCTTCACGATTTTAAGAATGTCATCTTTCATTCGTATAAAAGAAGAATGTATCGAGGAAACAGAAAATATTTTATTGAAATTTGTTGAACAAAATTCTTGTGTAATTTATTTAATGGATAAACCCAAGGAGTATAGGGCCATAAAAGTGTCTAAATGATTTCTAAAAAGGATTATTCCTATTCGAACTTTTTCCTTTTATTTAGCTAAATAAACTTGTAGTTTTAAAAACTAAAAGAACAATATATATATATATATATATATATATATATATATATATATATAAATTAAATTAAAAAATCTGGTAAAATAGTAATTGATTTTTACAATCTCATCGTATAACATTATATTCACCTTGACTACCCGTTTTACCTTTGATCACTCGTTCTGTAAATGGACTTGTTTCGATCGCTTTTATTTTTTGATCAATAATTATTTACTGTGTCATCTTCCTGTATATCAAAATAAAAGAGAGAATATTTTCATTTCATTTTAATTTACTTATTTCATTAACTATAAGAAGGATCGGATGTGGTAAAGGTGAAATATTATAAATAATTGATTAGTTTTTGAACAAGACAATTTTATTATAATAGTCTCACAATGAAAATGCTTCGGCGTTTAGCAAAAGATATCGAGAATCTTTATGTCTAAGAAGAAGAAGAAGAAGAAAAAGAAGAAAAAAAAAAAAAAGAAGAAAACTATGTTCTTAAACTTAACAAGTTAACATATATTTTCTATAATAATCGATATACTTTGCCTCAAAAATAGTTATATCTCAGGTACAAAATGGAACCCTTATCACAGACGTCACATTAAAGCTTTATCACTTATTTATATTACGGAAGAAAAGCAAATCTATCTATCGATCGTGATATAAGGAGACATAAAGTTAAGGAAATAATGAGAAAAAGTTTGGGATTGAATCAAACGATATGCGTATGCCCTTATAACATACTAAAATTGTACGTTCGATGTCATAATAATATTTGGAAGACAATGATTCGTCGTTTTTCTCCTTCGATTACAATAAATCGTCCATAGAGAGGAGAAATATCGATTACAATTATCGTCCATAATGATCAGAAAAAATTCGTCACGCACGAAGTCCACTAATATTTTTATCATTGTGATCTAGGTTGTATTAGACCACCAAATTTAGATGATCACCAAGGTCTCCAAACGGGACCAGAAGATTCGGAGGATTCCCCGGATGAGCTGGCAACGCTAAGGGGACTTTGCGGCGGCGTGTAGACGTTTTGTGGTACACCGACGGTCATCATCGTAGTCGTTGTTGTCGTCGTCGTCGAGGTCGTCGTAGACATCGTCGACGTTATAGATTCGTTAAAACCCTTGCTGGTACTTGGAACAGGCGAGTTAGAGGAAACTGAAGAGCTAGCGGAGGACGAACCTTCCAATCTTCGAAGACAACCACCAAGATGCCTCATAAGTTGAGCACCAGCGGCCGGATGAACGGCAGCGGCAACTGGTGTTGAAAGAAACGTGGACACCTCTTGAGCACATTGAGTAAATCCCTCGCGGAATCTATCCGCATAACTGTTTTCAGGCGTTAGAGTTAATCTACGTGCCGCCCTAAGCGTATGAAGATGACGAACTGTCAACTCAAGGATATCAGCTTTCTCCAACTTTGCCACGTTTTCTCCTTCAGCTTGAAGGGCCGTAACCATGAGATCCTTTAATTCGTCTAAGCAACGATTGATACGTGCCCTTCTTTTCCTCTCAAGCATTGGCTTCATGACCTTGCGATATTGATAGGTCCTTGACACTGGTTCCTCATACTCCATGCCGGTGACGGGTGCATAACTCGTATGCGGTGCCATCATTTGTTTTCTTCTTTCTTTCTTTCTTTCTTTCTCTTTCACACTTGTTTTAATTATATCAAGCAACACTTGTCACAATTCGAAGACGATTATTGCTACGATTATTCCTATATATCGTATAATAATGATGATATTAATAAAATATATATTGATAATAATGATAAGGTAACGCGTGATAAAACACTACTCGTGTATATTGACGTGATTGATATCGTTGCACATATATATATATATATATATATATGTATGTGTGTGTGTGTGTGTGTCTATGTATGTATATTCTCGGTGTGCCGAGGAAAGCGAAGTTAACGCATCCGTGTTTGTTACGTTTCTGAGTTGGTTAGGCGCGAGCGTGCCGTAGTTATACGTTCAGTCCCACCATCGGATTGGTAGCTGGGCCCGGCAATTCTCCCCCACTCTTTTAGAGTTCGCGCGCCGTAAGCGCACGTTCGTTCGGTCGGTCGGTCGGTCGGTCGGTCGGTCGGTCGGTCGGTCGGTTGGTCGGTCGGTTGGTCGGTTGGTCGGGCGAGCGATCGGCTGGCCGGCCGGCAGCCGGAGGAGCGTGTATCGTGGGAAGCTCCCGGGCCGGAGCGTTCCCACAGACCAGGAGCCTGTGGCCGGGAGCCTAAGGCTTACAGCCTAAGGCCAAGAGAGCCTTGGGCCAGGAGAGAGCCTGAAGAGTCGAGGCCCAAAGAGCGAATCGATCCTAGGGAGTGGTAGCTTACCGTAGGACCCAACACTGAGAGGAGGAGGGTCACGGAGAAGAGGACTTTTTCTTCAACACACCTGCGTACAAAGTCGTCGTTGTCGTCGTTGTCGTCGTTGTCGTCGTCGTCGTCGTCGTCGTCGTCGTCGTCGTCGTCGTCGTCATCGTCGTCTTTGTCGTTTCTCTCTCTCTCTCTCTCTCTGTCTTTCTTTTTTTCTTTTCCACTTAACCGATGTTGGATGTGTGTTGGTGAGACGAGAAAAGAAAAGAAAAGAAAAAAAAAAGAAAGAAAAGAGCCGTCTAGCACACGCCACGACGCGCGACGATACTCGTGCCTCTCTCGTGACTCCCCCCCCCCTCTCTCTCTCTTCTCTTCTCTTCTCTCCTTCTTCTCTTACTCCTTCTCTTCCACTTTTTCTCCCTCTTCCTCTTCCATGATACACATATATACATACATATATATCTCTCTGCTGCTCAATGACTTTGTCTCGTAATTTTCGAGAGATAAAGAGATATTGTATCGAATTTCGATTGATCGACCTCACGATTTCTAATCTCTTTCATTCGCGATTTCTTCCGTTTTTTTTCTTATTATCCTTTTCTCTCTCTCTCTCTCTCTCTCTCCTGTTTTTCTCTTTCTTCCTTTTTTTTTTTCATCGACTTAGCACTCGTCTCTCTGAAACCACGTTTAAAACTCCTTCCGTATGTTCAATATTTCATTCCGTATGTTTCATTTTTCACCAAGTTATGTGTGATGAGAAAAAACAAAAAAGAAAAAATAAAGCAAGAAATTCCTCTAATCGATACACGTTTTTACGGTAGAGCGGAGGATGAGGGGGGAACAGAAATCTCTTCGTTGGATATGGAATTGAGAGGGTGAAATTTATTTCTGGTTAGAACACGATCCGAATAAGAAATAACATTTAACGTGCACTCGAAATTCGCGAGATAGGTTTTGCTCAGAAGAGGAGGCTGAGGAGGGCCGGGGTGATCGCGCTTTCGGGGAAAATATTTTGAGATGCAGAAGCGACGCTACCGTCGTATTAGACCGGACGTATATCCAATCTTTCGTGATCGCATGACAACCGGTTTCCTGCCTTGGAATCGAAACGAGTCGTTTGGACGTCGATTTTTCGAATTAAACGTAGGATCTTAATGACCCTCTTTCTCTCTCTCTCTCTCTCTCTTTCTCTTTCTCTTTTGTAAGGTTGAAAGACAGGTTGTGCTTACGGGACTTAACAAGGTGTTTAGTCCCTTTATAAAAGGCAATACCCTAAACAAGGGCCGAAGAGACCCTGGTCGAACTTTTACGACAAGTCAGGTCGATAAACCCAAATATTAACTTTTGTAATAGACATTGAAGATTTACGAGAGGGAAAAGTAATATTTGTTGAAAAATTGATTCATTATTTCTCGTTTCAATAAATTTTAATTTTTAATTATAATAATAATAATAATAATATAT